CGGCGCCTTCAGGCCCGCCGAAGTCTGGTGACCTACAGACCTCTCCTCGGCATCATCGTCTCTCAGAGTTGCAGCCAGCTTCGACGCCAGCTCCGACGTCCGTATCGAGGCCAGCACCGACGCCAGCCCCTACGACAACACCGCCAGCGTCAACACCCATGCCTGCGCCTACGCCGTTACCTACGCCAGAGTTGCAGGCCGCATCGACGCCAGCTCCGGCGTCTCCAGCGAAACCAGCACCGATGACAGCTCCTATGCCAGCACCGCCAGCGGCACCAACCACTATTATTTATCCCACCCCGCCGACGACCCTGGGTGTCCCTAGGCTAGCACCGCCGACCACCGCATCCATTGAGGCGCCCACGTCCACATCAACGACAGCACCGACGGCAGCATCGAGGCCAGCCTCGATGAGTCTTCAGCCAGTCACTGCTCTGACGCCTCGTCCATGGCCGCGGGCGGGAGTGCAGCCTTCAGGCGCACTCTCCGCTAGCGGGGCCGCCATGTCATGTCATGCCACGTCCGCCTCGTCGCCCGTACCGTCTGTGTCACTATCTGCGCCGACGACCACATCGACGCCACCACGGACGGCAGCTGGGACGTCCGCATCGGCAGCGACAGTTTTCGGGCGACCGCCTTCGACGTCAGCAGTGGCAGACTCGCCGGCGGCGGCACCAACGTTGCCACCCACGGTGGCACCTACGGCAGTCCCCCAAACGGCCTTCACAGCGGTATCCACGATAGCACTCATGACTACATCCACGGTGGCATACACGGCCATGGCTCCCGTGCCCACGTCCGCACCGACGCCAGCATTGACGACAGGATCGGCCTCAGTATCGTCGGCACCGACAGCGGCATTGACGACGAGATCGACACCATCAGGCACACCCACGGCTATTGGGGCCGCCGTACCACGCCGTATCATGCCCGCCACGCTGTCACCTACGGCCCCACCGACCCAAACAGCGACGTCAGCACCGACGACCGCATCGACGCCAGCCTCGGCGAGCCCTCAACCATTCACTGTCCTGACGCCTCGCTTAGGGCCGCTGGCGCGGGTGCCGTCTTCAGGCGCACCCTACGCTAGTGGGACCGCCATGTCATGTCAGGACACGCCTGCCTCGTCGATTTTTTCGTCTGCGGCACTGTCTGCATCGACGACAACATCGACGACTACGCCGGTACCCACGCCAGTGTTGCAGCCAGCATCTACGCCAACTCCGCCGTCTGCATCGGCGCTCGCATCCATGGCAGCATCGCCCATAGCTTTGACACCAGCACTGCCAGCGGCAGCTCCCACGCCCACGCCTACGCGGGCACCAACGTTGACACCAGCACCAACACCGGCACCGAGCGCAGCCGAGACGTCATCGCCGACGATTACTCTCATGCCAACCCTGCCAGATTCAGCACGCCCTGAGTCGTCCGCGGCGGCGCCAAAGGTGGCACCCACGTCGGCCTACACGGCAGCGTTCGTGGAGCGTGTGTGGTTGGAGGTCATCGAGTGGTACAGCGTGGTGTCATTGTCCACGTGGGCCACCTTGTGCGCCACGTACGGCATGTACTACTTCTCCATCGGCATCCGCGACGAGTGGCGGCGACGGAGCGCAGCTGCAGCGCGGCGCCGACGCCGACAGTGCGGCGGCGACGTCGACCGCAGACGCCCTCTAGGCCACCAGACGGCCGCCCAGGGCCGCCCTGGCATCAGCCCCTACACTGCCTCGAGCCTCGAGCCGACCTCCCTACCAAAACCTGGGAGCACGCCAGCGGGGGCGGCTTCAGCCCCCCCGCATGGCACCACGCCTGCCATTCCTGTCATCGGCCCCCACATGGCCTCAAGCCTCGAGTCGACCCCCCCGCCAAAACCTGGTAGCACGCCAGCGGGGGCGGCTTC